CTAAAATTTCATGGGTTTATTGCAAAAAGTCACAATGTAAATTTTTGATGAAGCTGTGGACTTATAAGAAAGTTGTTGTGAATTTCGACCTTTTCTATCAATAAAATATTAAGTACACTTAAATGATATAAGTCATTATATGGAATATCGAATATAGTTACAAACAATTTCTGATTGCACGAAGAGAAAACACATCAACGTTTGTGGTAATTTAAGGTTGTGAAATATCGCTTAATGACTTTTTGCAGTAAACCAACAATGTTCTTTAACTAAAAATAATTCGTATTTACGGTATTATATTTTATCACTTATTATCCGTCTATAAATAAAAAAATTTGGATTTAATTAGTTATGAATAGAAAATATCAATTCAAAATTCGACATTTATTATTTTTCTCTCTTTACTATTTAACCTTGTATCGATACCAATTATGTCTTATAATACATCAACAATTTTAAGGATTATTATAAAGCCGATTAATTCGAAGTTTTAGAATTTCCTTAAAATTTCAATGAATTTCTGACAGATATTTGCAGAAAACAATGGGTTAAATTACATTAAAATTGAAACATGATCTGAACAGAATGAATAATTTAAGCGAAATTCACTTTAAAAAAAAAAACTTAATTATAACTCAAGGAAAATCATAAAAACTATTTCCTGATTATATTGAAACTATCCTAATATGATTAGTAATATCATACATTTATTATAACGTTTATGTTTTATTTAATCTAGCAAATAATAAACTTTGTTTATTTCGTTCGTTTTTCATTTAATATAGTCATTTATGATTATTTTAGCATTTTTATAACACTTTTCACTCAAACTTCATCGTTATTTCCCTCCCTTTTTTCATTATTCTTTCAGGAACGAAAAATAAATTATAAAGTAGGTAATTTTGCATTCACTATATCTAATAACCAGTTCTGTACTCATTTCCCCCTCTCTTATATTATTGTTTCAGATTATGATTTCATAAAATTTTCTACAATTTAAGAAGCATTGGTCGATGAAATGCAGTATAAATAAAACATCTTTAGCTTTTATATTTCTCATAAAGAAATTTTATATCTTGTTTACATTGTTATGTATTATTAAATAAGTAGTTATTTCATTTATATAATTAAATATGGTATTATTAATGTTTCATATCTTCGATTTAATTTTATTTCCCTTTTAAAATTTTGTCAATGTTAAAATAAGCTTCATAATAGTAGTTGATAAATCTTAATAGTCTTGTGTCGATTTCAGTTGGGTGCCATTCGCAAGAATTTCTCCTGTCGGAAACACAGTAAAAAAAATCATTGAGGAAGTGAAAATTTGAAAACGCGTAGGATTCTTGTGTAACAACCCTCTCCTCTCAATGGGGTCGTTAAATGTTTTTATTAACTGTTAAATTGTTTTATAACTGCATTTAAAGGAAGAATAAAAGAAATTTTATCTCTCCAGATACATTTAGCTAGTTCTACTCAAAACATCCTACTTACCTTTATGTAATGGAAACCGGACACAGATACATACGTAAGTTTCTCTCGTAAGCTATGGGCTGGTCAGAATGGACGATCCAAATTTTTCTCGATTGTTGGTAAAAATAAATAAATAAATAAAACAAACAATAAAAAATTAACTTGTTTTTTCTAAACTTTTCTACATTTAAGCTGAACGGGTTTTAAAATTTAAACCAGAAAATGGTTCGATTCTAGAGATGGTTGTTTTTTCCATTATAAGAATATATTGAATTTTCAGAAACGCTCTTTGAGCCTTTTTAATAGGGTGTATAAAAAATAACACCGTTTTCCAACCGAATATTTGTATTATTATTTCTTTGATATACAATACAATTAATACTTAAAGTATAGTCCATTGTTATCTACCGTCATTAGCCAATTGCTCGATCTCACGCTGACACCATTCTTTAGTATGGCTTTCAAATTGCCCGCAATTTCTACTTCTGCGAAATTATCAATTTTTTCCCATAAAGAAAATGTTCCATGGGTCTAAATAAGTAGTGATCCGATGGTGTGAGGTCTGGGCTATATGACGGATGAAGCAGGAGTTTTTCAGGCAAGAGTTTTTCACAACTTTTTAACTTCAGCTGATTGCTGAGGAGTAAGTTCTTGAGGAACTAGTCTACTGCTCTTTTTCCCCGTCCCCATGGAGAGTAGATGGCGACTAACTATACCTTAAAAATATCTTTAGATACACCACACTCCCTGGCAAGTTCACGAGAATTTGTAGATGGATTTTACTCAACAGCTTCCTGCAGAATCTCATCAATATCCATTGATAGTCGCCCGGAGTCCTTTCTTCCTTTCCAACGTTGTATCTCCGCTGCTAAATTTTTCAAAACCACGTCGCGCAGTGCTCTGGCAAAGGTCACCTTCATCTTCATATTAAATAATTTCACGATTACTTCAGCGGCTATGATTCCTTTTTCCCAGTAATGCCTTAAAATTACGAGAATTTTGTAGGACACTGCCATGTTTCTTCTTTAAAAGAAGTGAATAAACTGAGACTTTTTTGAAGAAGTCAAATGGGATTAAACAAGCTTAGAGAATGCTGTTAAGGGATTATTAAGTATTGGTAAATATTAGATAAAATTAAAATATGTACAGTCTTTTGAAATCTTGAATTTAATAAACCGGTCATTTTTTTATGCATCCTATTACATATTGAATAAGTATCATTTCAAAGTTGTTTGTAAATAGTTTAAATTAATTTTATTATTAGTTATGATCAGAGCAAATTTTGAAATATTCCTTTTTACTATTGAATACTGATCGAGAAATATATTTGTTTCAGTTTTGAGTTCATAGTAGTATTTATTAATATTATTATTATTATTTAGAATAAATAAGATGTTTCCCGTAATAGATTTAATTATATAACAAAATAATAGTTTATATTTTTATGAATATGCTCATATAGAGGATTATTTTGAAATGAGTAGTGAAAAAATCTGGTTAAAAAAAACAACCTGAAAATGGGATTCACTGTTCCGAAATGTCAAGGATAGCCAAATATATAAAGTAACTTGGTTTATCCTAATATCTATAAAATCGTTAGATAGTTCCTGAAATAATTGAAATGGAATTTTTGACACACAGATTAAACAATCTTATAGTGCAGTATAAACTGGGTGTTTTATTTTTCTCGCTTCTACCCTAAAGGGTCATTGGTGTTTTCTATAATTTATTTTATATTATAGTAACTTATAATCTTTGAAAATTTAAAAACGATAGAGACTCGCTCTTCATTATCATGTAGAATATCTTTTAGTGTTTTTCCTATATCTATCTTTTGTCTGTGGCTTTCGAATTGGGAACATTCTACCAAAAAACGTTTCACAGTTTGAGGTGTATTATTGCATTTTTTGTAAGTAGGAGCTTCTAGGCTTCTTAAAAGATAGCTATGTGTGAACTGGCAGTGCCCGATCCTAAGACGGCACAGTATAATTTCTTCACGCACAATGTGGTACTTTGGCACTTCTGGTACTAGTGAGCAATTTATCGCAATTATATTTCACTTCTTTCAGCTTACACGTTTTGATTTTCCAATCTTTTTCCTATTCTGCCAGTTTTCTTTGTTTGCTATACCCAGTCTTCTAAAGTGATATATTTCAATCTAGTCACTGCCTCTTCTCCTCCTCCACTTCTTGCTAAATGGGCTGCATGGCCAGCTATTTCCTTCTCTCAAATTCCGTAACGAGCTGGTACCCATACCAGGACAACTAATATTCCTTTATTTTTTACCTCCCATCATATGTTTACTATTTCTCTGATTAGAGAGTTTCTAGGATATGGGTTATCGATGGCAGTTAAAACACTGTACGTGTCCGTCGCAACTAACTAGTAGTGGTTTTTAGATTCGCTTAAAAGATATAAAGCATTCATGATGGTAGTCACCCCTCCTGTGAATAGGGAGCATTCTCCAGGTAATTTAATTAGTAGGTTAGCAAAATCTTTTCTCTTCTAAAAAAATTGGCAAGTCACAATGATATAGAACGTTTGATACAATGTCTGATTTTCAACTTATACTTGTACCAAACTTATTATGGCATTGCGACTTACACAATTTTTGGGACAGTAAAATATTGCTGAAGACGTAGAGACAGATTCTCCGAAACGTACAATAAATAAATATCAAAAACTAATTTTGATTTTTATTAAATTGACCTCAAGGTGACCTGACTTTAGTAGTAATAGAATTAAAAACGTTATGGTCAAGATTAAAAAAAAAAGGAAAATCTTTTTTTTTAAATTATAACAACAACAGTGAACTTATGGTGAAAACAACGCATTGAAACATTGTGGTCTTTTAAAATATTTCAGTGATATACTGTTAATCCGATAATAAAACCTATAATTATACAATCTTAAAAAAAAGAAAAAAAAAAAAGACGAATTGATCAAATCTAGCATCTTCGAATTTACATATTTTCTGGTCCTCTTCATATGACATACATGGATAGTTACTGGTGTGTATGAACGGAAGAACTGTGACATTCATATGTTTTCATCCCCCGATTTAACACTACTTTCTAAATTGCCTTGTAAAATATAACCTTCAGGAAAAGTATATTATCATCGTATTAATCCTTTTTGTAAAACATAGAATATAATATATTCAAAATCATAAATATATATATATATATATATATATATATAATATATTAATTACATATTAATAATTAATGATATATATATAAAAATCAATAATGTCAATTTATATATTCAATATATACATCCCGTAATTACACCGATTCCAACTATCCTTTGCAAAAGCTGTACAGTGCCTAGGTCCCTTGGATTAATTATGAAGAGAAAAATTGTTCAGATCTTCTGAATGGTTTAGTGTATCTGGGGCCAACCATGGGTTATGTAAACCACCATTATATAACATAAAGCAAATCTAGGTTCAAACTGGGTTAACGTCTTACACCCCACAAATACGCAACGTTTAGTCAACTATCCTACGTACTTAAGAGGTCACAAACCTTTAACCATGGTTTCCATTGTTTAATTTTCTTCGAAAAATTTTTCTATTTTTTATGACTGGGTTCTGTAAAAAAAAAAGAGAAATAAATTAATAAAATAATTATTACAAAAAATATTAGTAACACATTTATGAAATTATATACTTTAAAATTAAATTTCATTGATTAATATGCAATTAATTAAATTTTTGGACTCACACACTGACGTATACTTATTTATAATAAGTATATTCATTATTAGTCCAAATCAGACATTATATTAGCACAATCAAAACATAAGAAAATGTCATTGCGAACCACAATAAAACTTAAAGGAATTTATTTAATTAATTTCTTTAAAAAGAAAAAAAAAGTAGTTTTAACCTAACAGAAAATATTTAGAAGACAAGAAGTGAATAAGTTATTTATCGTTCCAGCACTATATTTTTCAAGGGCACTTAATGTAATTATATAATCGAGATATTCATTTGACAGAAAATGGACTAAATCCAATTTTAACATTTTTGAGTAGTATCATTTTAGTGATATTTATAGTTAGAAAATTTATAGCATCTGTAAAGAAAGTGAGTAAGTTGATTCCAGATTAGGTGATTGCATTGTTTAAATATCGAACGGTGAATAAATGTATACATTTTTACACTTGAAATATCACTAAAATTAATAATCGGAAATGTTGAAATTGGAGTTAGAAGAGTAATTTTGTCAACTAAAACTCACAATTATTAATAATTTTATAAAGTACCATTATAAAAAATAAAAAAGGATGTAAGAAAGAGGAAATAGTATCGGATTTATGGATTGACATACATTTGATTAAATGCGAATAAACTGCTAAGAATAAGATTGGTTTTTTATAAACGGCAATAGAATGTTGTAATGTGAAAACTTTATTTATATTTGTCATAAATTTTTGATAGGTTGAAAATGAATCAACTGTGTTCGGGATGGCTACTGATAATCGATATTATCGAAAATATTTTCCTTCCGATATTCGATGGTATCGATTATCGATATCGTCCCTTCGACATTTTAATATTATAATTTAAAAATTAAAATTAAAACTTCTGTTTTCGGAAAGCGCTAGGAATTGTATATGAATCTGATCGATAGAAAAAAATTATATTCATCTCACCTGTTTCAAACAGAATGTAGTGCATTGTAGAGGAAAATATAGATATTTCGATAATATCAACTATCGATATTCCAAATGGATAAAATATTCATGATTTTTTCAATAACTTTTTCTAATTTAATTTTTATGGGCCCTCCAAGGCGTCTAGAAGAAGATGCCCTCGTGATCCACTTATGTAAATATATTATTATTGGAGTGCTACCAATGGTTAGTTTCTCAACAAGCGTTTTCGCGTGATTGTATTATTACTGTGTGCACGATTTTAATGTATTTTTAATTTAATACAGTTGTAAATATCATGAATAAATAAATGCACAAAAAAAAATAAAAATTTATGGGTAGTATTTTTATCAGGTTTTTTTCCCTCGAGGTGTGTGAATTAAGAATTTGAACAGAAGAAATATTCGTTAAACGTGAGGGATAAATAGAACTCATATTACGTATAATTTTAAAAAGGAGACAAGTACTCGATGAATGAACTTAGATGGATTTCAAGAAATCTAGCATTGGATCACAACACAGCCTGCCGAATCATATTGTTGATAAGTATTTTCTTCTAAAACTAAAATCGATTATTTAAAAAAAATATTTTTTTTTTATTATCATGAAATTTACAGCTGTATAAAAATAAATACACATCCAGTAAATGTGATACAGAGAAATACAGTCGCATGAAATCAATTGTAGAGAATCTATACATTGGTAGAACTCCAATAAAAGTATCCAAATTTGGATACGACGAGATCATCTACTTTTCATACGCCTCGTGGTTGGGAGGGAGTGGGAGTCTAAATAATATATAAATCTGAATTTGCATCTATAGAGGGAAAATCTATGAATTAATTAAGTTGTAATGAATTTAATTTATTTACGCATCAGTAGATAATGTATTTCAGTTATCATTTATAAAACATTAATTTTTGTTTTCTGACAATTTTATTATATTTTTGGACTTCTGATTAAATATTCCGGATTTTCAGGAATGATAAAGATAAGTATAACAATAAACCGTTGTATCGTAATAGTATTTTGTAGAAATTTATTAGGACGCTTAATAATTAGATGTTTTATATTTTAGCGAAAAAAAAGTTGACAAGCCTAATGATTTTAGAACTAACTGAAATTACAAAAATTTAATTATATAATACCAAATCTTAAAACAATTTTAATTGAATATAATTATAAATAAATTGAATTTTAAAAATTAATAGTTAAATAACCGTGATCTGTTCCTAATGAGCCAAAGCAACGTTTAAAGCAGAACAAATTGGAGAATATCAACCAATGATTAGAAACGATCTATTGCGATTCATTCATTAGTGGTTTATTAGTTTGAAACTTTTTTTCTATGTAAATAAAATTAGATCAAAATTTTAAATTTTTTTAACAAATAAAATTCGAAATAATGAAATATAAGTTTTATTTTTTAAATAAAAAAATAAAGTACTTGTCGTTGTCATTAGGATGTAGTTGAGTGTTATCTAAACAAATTGAACATTAGAAGAAGTATTTATGTTAAACTGTATTAAAATACTATAAGCAAATGGGGGCCTTTAATGACGAATTCAACAATTAAAAAGAAATATTTAATTTATTTTTCTATAATTTGTATGCATAAGAAGATCGGTTATAAATTAGGAATTGACATGTATAGAATTAAACAAATTATAATATTAGCTTATATTGATTTAATTTTAAATCTATATAACATTTTACCTAACCTATTTTAGTTGTGTTTATCGATTTAAAAGAAATATGAAACATATCTCACGAGTTAGCACAAATGTCAGTAACCCATAAATGTGTCAAATCATTTCTATTTCATGATTGCTTGATGATTTGTTTTCAATGGTATATATTGATTTTACTCGCAAGTATTTTATATACATATATATGTATACATATATTTACAATTTATTTGAGAAATTTAATTTAAGGAAACATTTTAATTGCTGGATTGGTCACAAAAAAAAAACAACCACTGATTACGGGTAATGCTTAATGATTTTTATATTTTTTATTCTCGTTTGGAGTGTCCGCTCGATTTTTTTTGTTTTAATTACTCCATGGTTTTAATATATTAAAGTAATTTGTTTCCAACATAAAATGTGTACTAGAACTCAATTTACTTGAAATTTTGTTATACTTTATGCTCGTGTCATTCATGGATACAAAAACGGACCAATTTAAATATATTTTTTGGGAGGTGGTGAGAGAGGGACGTGGATTAATACGAAAGTCTCTTCTACATTAAAGTTCGGTAATGTTTACTGACTTATTCAATCCGAAAACGATTTTTTTTTTTTATGGACACCAGCAATAGCGGATCCAAGATTTAATTTTTTATGGGGAAAGGGGGTCTTCAGCCCGAAACCTTTTTTTTTTCATATATATATATATATAACGATAATTATTTTGTAAAAAAAAAGAAAAAAAAAGAAAGACACTAACTACTTATATGAAATGGTGTTTAAATGGTTCTTGAAGTCCTATTAAATGTAATTAAACGAACAATAATACATTATAAAGGAAGGAGATGGTCCGGGGTGGCGGTCATAAATAGTGGCAAAACTATTTTATTAAAAGCCAACTTAAACGTTCAACAATAATACATTAAGAGATAATTTTTTATTATTTTTTATCATAAAACATGGTTACATTTTTTTTTTACAAAGCCCTTCTCCACCTCGTAAATTTGCCTGTGTACACGAGTACTCCTTCCGGCGGGCGATATGATCTCTTGGAATTGTTCTATCTATAAACACAAGGTACGTTGTGGCTGATCCGGTAGAAATAATAAGTGGCCAATTTGTGCTTGATTGTTCCAAGAATCTTGAAATTAAAAAGACTGGAAAATTATGGAGACTAGATTATAGGCGTGGAAGTTTTAAGTTCACGCAACTTCTATCTTCATTTGTCATTTCTCAAATATTTCGATGCCCCATAATCTCGAATAATAATTCCTAAAAATTCAATTACAGAGCCGCTATATAAATCGGACAATTACTGAGCCTATTGTAATTGGTATATGTGTTTGAGTTTATTATTTTCAATATTAACTTTTTGTAATCAGCAAAAAAAAAAGAAAAAAAAAAAGAAATAAAATGAATTTTTATCTCTCATATGTGTGTGTGTGTGTGTGTGTGTGTGTATAGCATATATATATATAGCATTCATTTGCAGATCTTCTGAATCCTGCCTCTTCCCTAAAAATGGAAAAACATTTTTTTTGTGGGTCTAAAATTCGTTTATATGAGCAATCTTAGCTTAATACTTAAACAATCACAAAATGATATATTTTTAAATAATATGCATATACAGTAAATGTTAGCATGTGCCAAGAAAAAATAAGCTTTTATACCTTTTTTTTTTGTCTTTAATTACCACTTGAACACCATTTTATATGTGTAGTTTTTTTTTACTTCAAGAATAACGACCATAAGAACGACCGTAATTAATAAAATAAAAAATAATAATAATAAAAAAGAAAATCAAAAAATTAAATCCTGGCCTCACTAATTTTTGCAATTACGATTGAATATTTTATTTATTGATAAATACACGCACGGGACAAATAGTGTGGTATATTTTTTATTTTTCGAGTCATTGGTATAATTTTAAATTTACTTATTGGTTATTTTTTAAATATAGTAAGTAATAGTATTTTCTTTCTTTTGAAGTTATACAGGTATATAGAAAGGCTTCCGTCTCACAAGACACTATACTTGAGATGACTTACCCAGAAGGCAGGTATCCTTGTTGGCACGGCTGGAGGAGTACTGACTTGTTTCACTTCTCGGACTGGTATTGTGAAAACGTTGGGGTTGGTGGGGGCTCGCCACGACTTGACGCCGCTAAGTTTTCGTCAGGTGACAATTTATTCTCACGCAAACTCTGAATAGGTTTGATAGAAACAGGTTGCGGCAACTGTCA